TGGATAAAACTCCTGTGTATTTTCTTATCAATAATACTGAGTAATGTGTCTGTTCACTTTCCTGCCAATTATACTGTATAAAAACTCCTTGGTACCTTCTTGTCATTAATACTGGGTAATGTGTCTATTAAATATACTGCCAGTTATACTGGATAATACTCCTGTGTACCTTCTTGTCAGTAATACTGGGTAATGTGTCTGCTCACTTTCTTGTCAGTTATACTGGATAATACTCCTGTGTACCTTTTTGTCAGTAATACTGGGTAGTGTGTCTGTTCACTTTCCTGTCAGTTATACTGAATAAAACTCCTGTGTACCTTCTTGTCAGTAATACTGGGTAATGTGTCTGTTCAATTTCCTGCCAGTTATACTGGATAAAACTCCTTTCTTGTCAGAAATACTGAGTACTATACCTGTTTACTTTCTTTCCAGATATACAGGATAAAACTCCTGTGTACTTTATTGTCAGTAATGCTGGGTAGTGTACCTGTTTACTTTCTTCCCTGTTAAACTGGATATAACTCCCGTGTACCTTCTTGTCAGTAATACTGGCTAATGTGTCTGTTCACTTTCCTATGCTGGATAATTTTATTATTCAGTTTGTAACAATTATACTATACACGAAAAACATTTACAGTTGCCCCCCCCCCTCAATGGCTCAGCGGTAAGTCAGCAGGCTTACGATGCTAAAATTGGGTTTCGATACCCGAGATGGGAAAAGAAGGAATAGGCCATTGTATAGCTTTGTGCTTACCAACAGCTAAACCATTTCCAGTTTTGACGTTATTTTCAGTACTCATTGTATTGTTTGTTTATTGAACTCCGCGCAAAACTACATGAGGTCTATTTGCGCTAGGACCCCCTAATTTTGGAGTGATAGACTAGAGGGTAGGCATTTAGTCAACATCACCCACCATCAACTCTTGGGCTATTCTATTACCAACAAATAGTGAGATTGAATTTCACATTATATCGTCGTCACGACTGAAATAGCAGCATATTTGAGGACGGGATTCGAAGCTGCGACCCGCAGATTGCGAGTCCAGTGCCCTATCTACCAGGTCATGCCAGACCTTGGTCGTATTGAATTTATCTTGTAACATACATACAAACTCTACAGGGAATGTTTCGTTTGTTTGTGTTTTTAGTTTTATAGATTGACTAGACTTGATTATTCGTTCAGCTATTTTACTTGCTTGTTTTGAGTAAAAATATTAAATTTTATTTGTAAGTTCCTGATTGCGCGCAGTTTTATAAGGTTAAACGTCCAGGTTAAACTTTGTTAGAAAAGTTATACTCGGTAGTTCAACGTGAAATGTTAACCATAACCTCGATATGGAGTAACTTCTATTTCTCCTCGAGTTGAGCTTCATATAGCTTAAAGCTTGTATTTACAGTAAGATGTTTTTGTGTCTACGACAGTGATTGATTAAACAGTTGTTTCTGTGAATACGAAAAATTATATACTTAAGTAGGTAAGTTTTTTTTTTTTAACTAAGCACAAAGCTACACAATGGGCTATCTGTGCTCTGCCCACCAAGGGTATCGAAACCCGGATTCTAGCGTTGTAAGTACGCAGACATACCAATGTGCCACTGGGGGGCAAGTAGGCAAAACAATTTCCCCACCTTCATGGCAAACTTTATTATTGAAAGGAACTTAGACTTAAATACTTGTATGGGGCCCAGAATTTTGGCGCAATGTCACGTATAAATATACTAGATTCACCCAAATATTCTACATTATTCGGATCTAAAAATAAAATACAGAATTAATCAATTTTCCACATTGATAGTTTCCAACATTCTAAATATATTTATTTCTCTGAATCTATTTTTACAAGTATATTTAACAAACAATAGAAAGGCAGAGTTTACAGAAACAAATTAAGTATCAGGATAAATCAATTTGAATCCCTTACATATTGTTTTTGTGGTAAACTATATCCTTTATTTGTTGCCAACTCGTGAAAATATCTAATTTATTACAATATTCCCCACTTAGGACACCATCTCGTAACAATGTATAAATTCCTTAAAGAGGCCAACATTCGGGGGCGAATGCAACATGTCTCCATCACGCAGTCCTAACAAGGCCAATTTTGTGAACCTGTGTGATGTATTGATATCATAGTTTAACAAGAAGTAAATGTGCTGCTTGCGGACTAAAGTTTCCACCCATCGGTTTGTCTTGTGTCTTTTTAAAGGTGTGTGAGCCAATTCGTACAGATGTTTTGTTAAGTAAAAAAAAAATTGCTTGTATAAATTCATTCTCAAATCATTAACTTACATACGTTGTTAAAAGATCTATTAACTACAGACTTAAGATTTTCATTGATTTCGTGTAAGGTAGTATAAAGTTTGCTGAAATCAAATGCTTCGATATATTTAGCTTTGAAAGATTTTAACTGTTGTTTACATTTCTTGGACTTTTCGATAATTATGTATGGAGTAATACCTGTACTGTTTGTTTCTGAATTTCGCGCAAAGCTACACGAGGACTATCTGCGCTAGCCGTCCCTAATTTAGCAGTGTAAGACTAGAGGGAAGGCAGCTAGTCATCACCACCCACCGCCAACTCTTGGGCTACTCTTTTACCAACGAATAGTGGGATTGACCATCACATTATAACGCCCCCACGGCTGAAAGGGCGAGCATGTTTCGTGTGACATGGATTCGAACCCTCGACCCTCAGATTGCGAGTCGAGTGCCTTAACCACCTGGCCATGCCGGGCCTACCTGTACTGTCTATTATAATGCTACAATATTTCTTCATATGTTCTTTGAGGTACTAAATATTTAGTAGTATTTTTTCTTGGCTCCAGCTTTGAATCTGTATTTATAGGGTGACTTATGGAGTATAAGAATCCCGAATAAATTGTGAATTACATTATCGATAGTATCTGTATCAACTGCAAATTCTATTAAAATGTCATTATGTTGTTCGCACTTATTTTAACATAAGTATTAATAGAATTACCCGAAGGTTGCAATATCTGCAAATAAATAAGTTATCTGTTGCCTTACATGCTGATGTAATAACATATTTTTTATGATAATATTTGAAAGATTTTATATTATCTTTTTTTTTGGTGAATAATTAGATGCAACTTTTGTCAAAAACTGTTTCTATTGTTGTTACTTGTTCTATCTACTCAAACCATTGGGAAAATTGATTTATTTGTTACTTCAATTACATATTTAAGGGATACGTTTCCAGTTAATTTTCGGATATTCGTAAAATTAATGTTCCTCAAAAGTCTAAAATCTTCATTTTGTAGAACATTAAGGTTTCTAGTACTGACATGTTGAGTGGGTATGTAAATGTAAGGATAACTAAGACAATCACAACCTGAGGAAATAATTTTGTCATTATTAATGTTATCTAAAACCCTGTTATAATTGAAAATTATGTTTCCGGTGGATCTTTATAAGACATAACTTACTATTGTATGTCATAGGTAGTAATTGATGTCTGGACTTGTCCTGTATAATACATTCTAGATTATTAAGCATCTGTATAATTTAAATTCAAATTGGTTTGAATAAACTTGTGTTTATTAACTACAAGGCCTCGTAATATGACATAAAGTGGACGAAGGTCATTTCTTTCATATGGTATAATTAATACAGTTGAGGAATTCTCACAGTGTTTATATTTCAATTGTCACAGTTACAAAAAGAGGTTATACAATTATTCAATAAATTATAACATAACGAACATTTCAGACACTAATTAAACGACCAATGAGACGATTTGTAAAAACTAATATTGAGATTTCCATTGCGGGAAAATATCTGGTAGCATTCTGTCCTGAAAACCATATTAATTTATCTACGCGTTTACGTACCACGTATTGAACTAGTCTTGTGATTTTCATGTTATCTCTTAAAATGATATCATACAAACATGTGAGATTTTCAATAAGCTAAAAGATCAAAAACGTGTAATACTGGTAACTGGCATAGATTGTTAAGACATTATTGTTACATCGCACTGTATCAGAAGATAATACTACTGCCCTTGAATTAAAAAACAAAGAAAACAAGTGATGATAAACAAAACTGATACCCTGTTACGTGTGAAGGATACGCGACAAAGCTACATATTTAGGTTTTGTTGTTCTTTCATTCTACACAATAATTGAAATATACTCCAGCTGAGCTTGGCGTTTGCCCAGTTGTACGAGATGAACTAATGGAAACTAACTATGCATACTTAAGTCCCTTGTTGGGACAGCGGTAAGTCTTCGGATTTATAATGCTAAAATAAAGGGTTCGATTCCCCTGGGTGGACACAGCAGATAGCTCGATGTGGCTTTGCTATAATAAAACATATACGTACAAACACACATGTGTACTTAACCTTAAATTAGATTATATCTTACACCAACAAGCATTTAGTGTAAAGAAAGAAAAATTGACATATACTTCAAAAAATGGTCTGTCGTGAGCTAGTGGTTAGGGAACTCAATTCGCAATTCTGCGGGTCACGGGATCGAAACCAGTCCCTCAACATTTCCGCCCTTTCAGCCGTGTGGACGTTGTATTGTGATGTCAGTCTTGCTATCGTTCATCAAAAGCCCAAGAGTTGGCGGTGAGTGGTGCTAACTAGCTGCCTTCCCTCTAGCTTAACACTTTAGGGACGGCTAACGCAGATAGCTCTGAAATAGCTTTGCGCGAAAATTCAACAAAAAAACAAACAAATATTTGTGTAAAACTGTGCTAATTCCCTTAGATCACAAACCGCGTGTACATAAACTCAGAAAACGTTTATAGTAGAGTACCTTAAAACTACCAAATAAGATATTACGACAGCGGAAGTCACGTGACGTTGATGGAGCGTTTGGCGTGCGTGAAATTTCTCGTATGATCATGAATGATCGGGGAGGCCCGAGTGTATTCGAGCCGCCCCCTTCGTTAGTATATAAGCCTGGCAGAGAAGCCAGCGATACATAGATAATTAAAGAAGCGAACAGTAGTTACGGTAATATAAAGTGTGTGTCTTGTACTCGGGGAGAGCGATATTATCAAGATTGTAAATCGCTGTGCTTTATAGCGTGTATTATTAAAGTTGTTGAGTTTAAAGCGACGAGAAACGTACTGGCTGTGGAATTACTGTGTACTAAAAAGTTGTAACGAGAAAGAATAAACTGGTTTAATTAAGAAGGGACTTGTATCGCTGAAGTTCCTCAGAAAGAATTTCTACCTGAAATTAACAAACAATCATATACGTAACAATATTTATCATTTCATAGTGAAGTCAAAGTCTATTGTTGGTGTTCATAGTACTAGTGTATTTAATACATGTCCTAACATCGTCTATACTAGAGGATATTATATAACTGTAGCAACCGACGAATATATAAATCAGTGAAGAACACCACAAAGCTGTAACTAATACACGTTCGCACATCGTTGTTATTGGAGATGTAGTAACTAATGAATCTATAATCAGTGCAGAACGTCAAAAATCTGTATTAACTAATACATGTCTGCACAGTGTGGTTATTGTAGTGTGGTATTCCAAGGACAAACCAAACACACAATTATCTGATTTTCTTAATAAACGAAAATTCGAGGACCTAGTGCGTGGACTGATAGGCACGAAACAGATAAAATACGATGTGAAGACAGAAGAAAAGTAAGCTATTAAGACTGTTATAAAAGACTATTATGTTGGTGGTTTTGGAATTAATAACGGAATAAAGAGATTCAAATGTATTTAAATAAAAGAAAATAAAATTTACTTGAAATAAACTAAAAATGGAGTGACAGTTAGGCAAGACGAAAAACGTATATACACACGGTTAGCAGAAAGACTAACACATATTAAGAATAGCGCAGGTGAAAGTTCTATAGCAAGTCTTAACTCTTCCGAGGTAAAAACACATATGTTTGAAAATGCCAAACTACTTTCACATTCTACATTCTCTTTATGGCTGACCAATCAGAACTGCTTTCACATTCTACATTCTCTTTATGGCTGACCAATCAGAACTGCTTTCACATTCTACATTTCATCTGTGGCTGACCAATCAGAACTGCTTTCACATTCCACATTCTCTCTGTGGCTGACCAATCAAAAGTGCTTTCACATTCTACATTATCTCTGTGGCTGACCAATCAGAACTGCTTTCACATTTTATATTCTCTCTGTGGCTGACCAATCAGAACTGCTTTCACATTCTACATTCCCTCTGTGGCTGACCAATCACAAATTTAATCATAAATACTTGGAAATATCTCTGCTCCACGTGTCAGTCGTAGAGCACTTACAGACGCACGCGGTATTGTCGAATAAACAATAGATGACTTTCACGAATTAAACCTGCTAAAAACTTTAGAAAATTAAAAATTCTTGAGAATATGAAATGTGCATACCATAACTCCTTCGTTATCTTATACTTGCCATCAAACTAATTTTTATTTCAGTTGAATGCCAGTTTTGGAATTTACAATGTGATCCGGTGAAACTGCACAAGAAACCCAACCCTCGGTTAGACTAGATGTTAATAGAACAGAATGTTACAGGTTGCACAATGAATTACACGCACGAGATTTATAAGTACAACAAATACTCTCACCTAACGCATAGCCTTCTATCTAGACAACATATAGCAGATAAAGAACAATCTTCTGCATTCCAAAGTAAAACTCTTTAAAAACAAAGATACAAAAAATAATCCCTTTAACTACGAAAACACACACATATATATGCACATAAATAAAAACCATGTTAAATGCAAAATAAAACGTACGAAATACATTCTTGATTAAATGTGATATATACACACACAAAAGAAACCCAAAATAATAATAAAATTTAAAAAATGAATTTAAATCAGAAGATGGAATGTGACACATAACAGAGGGGAATACGTATGAGGAGTGAAAAGCACCTACATGTTGACTGTGTCGTACAGAATAATTACAGAAAACTAAACACAATGAAATTAATGTAGAATTGTCAAAAATCATAATTAAATATAATAAAAAACCATTTTAAAATATGAAACACCCTAATTTTAACCATTTAAACACTGGATGCTTTTCAAGAAAATTAAAACATACAAAAATTACAGCAGAGCTTTTTGTAAACACAAAACTAAACGTATTAGAAATGGAAACCCTTTAACACAACATATGTACAGACTATACACCGTAAATGGCCAGCATACCTTTCGTCATTAAAACCGAAAACTGATATATCTGTATATATATGGGTGTGTGTATACGTGTACATACACATACACACATGAATGGATCAAACACATGCACATATTTCAAAATATAATGTCCCTCGGTGGGACAACGGTAAGTCTTCGGAGTTACAGCGTTGAAATCAGGGGTTCGATTCCCCTCAGTGGACACAGCAGATTCCCAAAAATGTAAACATAAATTTATTTATATATATAGTATCCCGGTGGGTCAGCGGTAAATTTACAAACTTACAACGCTAAAATCTGAAGCTCGAGTTCTCCGCGGCGGACAGAGCACAGATAGCCCATTGAAGAACAAATTAAAGGAAAGTAGACAAAGAAAATGAACATATAAACTGAAGTAAATACACAAAAATATACATATTTACATTCAGGGGCTCCAGCAGGATCACTTGAGGGTGATAAGCTGGTCAGGTAGGGTCATAGTGTATTTTCTCCCTTTTGACGTCGTCCACTGAACGACATTGGTGGCTCAAGCCAGCTCAAACTGGGTTGCAACAAGCTCTTCACTCACCCAGTAAATCTTGTCTGTTACCCAGTGTTCATCTCTTTTCTAGGTGATCATCCATCTTATAGTTTGGACATGACAATGTTGCTGAGAGCGCGTCACTGCTTTGAAGTTGAATTACTCAAGGATGATGATTATGAGCTCTGCTGAAAACGGCTGTATCCCTACTTGGCCAGCGAGGGACAATGAAAATGCTAATGAAGCCAGTGTGGGAGAAGCAGTCACAGCTACAGCTGGAGTTTGGAATGATGGTGGTTCACCGCTTGCGGGTTAAAATCCTTATCATAACCACTTCATGGTTGCTGAATGTTTCATATAGCAACTTGGCACACTACATTTTGGCTTTATCAAGCTGTGCTTCCCTCAAAGGTGAGTTTAGATTTCGTTCTTACGGTGGCACATTTCTTGGGACCTTCGAACAGATAAGTGATAGAGACTAATGTCTTCAGTGTTCCAGCAGTATCTTTTTTATCTGTTACTGGAAAGGTCCTGATTTGTTTGATTGGGCCAGCAGCAACTTCAGGATAGTCAAAAACTGAACTACTACTTGGCTCACTTAACAATTTGTCTTACACTTCCATCATCTGGCAGTATAATGAAGTGGAAAACAGGGTATCTCCAACTTCTTTGATATTGGAGTTGGAGGATTATTAGCGCAAGAGGATTGCACAGGAAGTGGCCTGCTGACCAGGTTCTCCAACTATAAAGTGAATTAAGCATTCGAATCAAGAATGTCTACCAAGAAAAAAGTATATATAACTGCTAGTTAGTTAAAGCACTCAGTGCACAGTTAAGCGTACTCAGGTTATTTTTCATAATAAGAATGGTCAATCTGACTACCACTTAGTTCCAAGTTCAACAGACCAAAGCAATGAAGTCAATGCAGGACCATCTATTCTCTAGGAGGCCAAGAGTTCAGGCTTCAGGGTGGTGATTGTCGAAACCCACATCTCAACTACACACTGATGTTTTCTACAAATCACTAAGAAACATAGTCAGATGTAAAATTTCGTGTGTATTATCTAACATAAAGTTCTTTCTACTGCAGCAATTTGAGCGGGCTTCTATATTATTCTAAACATAAATCTTAAACCTCGCCATTTAAATGTACATTTAGTAGTCGACTGTTGTTCTCCCTGCAGGCTCAGGGCCTTGTTTTCAGGTATCACGAGAAACAGCACTTTACATGGCACTCTGAGTGGCAAAAGAAAAATAAAAGAAATCGTAGACTGTAACTAATAGTATAGTCATATCGCTGCAGTTGAAGCCATATACGACTGACTGTATAAGTTAAATACTGTATCACCTATAATGCTTGGTTTGTTATTGATTTAGTTCAATTTTCTTGCTTGTACAATAACGATAAAACAGTTTGTTTGTTTTTAATTATGCACAAAGCTACACAAGGGCTATCTGTGCTCTGCCCACCACGGGTATCGAAACCCGGTTTCTAGTGTTGTAAGTCCGCAGACATACCGCTGTGCCACTGGGGGGCCGATAAAACAGAGCATTAAATTAAGTAAAATTTTGTGCCTTTTCTCTCACAGTACTCGCTAGAGAATATCTGTTTCTAAGTTTGAAAATATTCATAAATTTTAAACTTTAACAAAAATAAAACATTGTTTTAGCTTTGCCTATATTTCTATGTTTTCCCAAGGTGACTTCAAACCGTACGAGAAATACAGGTTAATGAGAATGTAATTTTTTACAAGTTTCTGACGATACTTTAGTTGTATTTTATTTTCTTCGATTCTTAATCTCTCAAATATAAGTGTTTTAATCGACTTGTACTTTTTGGCTTTTGTGAATGTTTCACGTAATAACTAGGCACAATACACATGGTTATTAGGGGATCTAAACAAAGTAAGAAAAGAGTTGAGTTGCCAGACGTTGACTTCAGCCTGACTGTTCACTACACCATGTCGCTATTTCACTGAGGTACTCACCAAGCGCCATTAATTAATGCAGAATGAAAGTCAACATTAAACACACTATACATTTCGAGAGGACAGAGAGACTGTAAATGAATACTGTTCCTCTGTATCCTCTTTCGAGAGGAAATCGCAAGTAGAACATGATAGATACAATTATAAAAACCGTAAGAAATTTTACAGTTTTTAATCTTTATGTTCACTCCATATGTAGGACCATTTTTCCATATGCAGGCTTATTATCTGTCGTATGCAGACTTGTTCCTTACTTCCTTGACAGCACAAATATAGATATTAAAGGAAAAAAAAACTAATAAAGAGTTTATCTTTTATTGTAATAAAGTAACACAATGCGCCTAAAAGAAATTACAAATACACGTGTTTTCTAACATAAAATCAAATCTAGAAGATCTCTTAAACAAGTTTTAGAACAAAGCCACATTAGGCTATCTGATGTGTCCACCGCGGGGAATCGAACCCCGGATTTTAGCGTTGCAAGTCCGTAACCTACTGGGGGACACTAGAAGTTCTTCTTGATAATAAGCCTACGTAGTTGTTAAAAGAATATCAATAACACAATATGTAGCAGTGTCAATGATGTCATAGAATTCTGGAAACACCAGTCAGCAGTTGTTTTTATCTTAGCAAGATTTGTAAACTCGCTGAAAAACTAGATGCTAAGAAGTCACTTCTCTGGCTTCAGTTTTAAACATGCTTAAAATATACAGATGAGGTATCTTGCCAAGGTTTTTCAAGTGCAGCTTGAAACGTGCGACAAACATAAAAATATTGTTTATATATATAAGAGACATCGTTCCTATTACAAACCATGTAATACAACCTTCATCAGCTGCTCAAAAGTAGCTGGTAAATTACAAGTGTCAGATGGTGTAACATAAAACTCATTTAATGACTCCATCCTCCATCTACCTCAACACTAGCTATATCTCAACTGCTTCAAGGAAGTCTATTTGGCAGTTGCTTTATAGAACACATACCTGATGCTGAGTAATTATTATTCTTCCAAGCCGGACATCCGCTCCCACAATTATATTGACTAATTCCATCAGTAAGTTTTCTCTGCTGGTCTGAACTGAAAGAGGACTGCACAGTTTACCACCAGCGACCTCAGGTGTATTGGGAACCACATATTTAAATAGTGATACGGTGTGGCTGACGTAACTCTATCTACATACAATACCGATGATCATTATAGCTTATACCTTAATTATTTGTTCACCATAATTATATATCATAACCACAATGTGCGTTTCTTTTGGAGAACAAGCGAGACTTGTTTTTCTGAAAGAGAACTCCGTGTTTGGGGTGTCGTTTCAATCATAGTGTTAATGTGGTGGAGAAACCTAATATTGCAGAACACAACGAAACAGCACTTGTGAATCAGAAAGGACTGTAAAACTGTCATCAATATACACTCGTGCAGTCCATTGTTTTTGTACGCACTTTAGTCGACATTTTATGAAATGCATTTCAACTGGCGTCTGGCATACAGATTGACCTTGATTAAACTCACACTTGTAACCTACGAGCCAGAATCGACATATAGTGGTCACTCTAGTCTGCCTTATCCTGTTATCAAAACAGCCTTACCAAAGGTTTGTTTGCATTCGGCTAACAACACTTTGAGACAATAAAAGCCTGCTATGATTGGCTGTCTTCCATTTACCTAGTGATTCTTCACATGTAAGTGTCTTTTCTGAGGTCTAGCCATTGTTCCTGAACAACTTGGAGTACACTGAATACTGTGATTCACTTCAAAGTGAGGACTGAGACAAACTGAACGATCAACAATTTACATGTCAAGTCATTTAAATGATTATCATCAGATAGCAGATTTTCGTAATAATGAGTTGATATTATTTTAAAACAAAGGTTTGTCTTGTCATGATTGTAACGCTACAAGTTTCGAATATTCTTGAATTGTTTCGAGCAGTGTACATGTTAATGTGTTAATCTCTTCAAAAAAGATAATGTAATATAGCACATTTAATTATTTATTGTTCTGCTTCAACTTCTTCGTGAACAGGGATTTAGAACATTAGTTAAAACATATATTGAGCAATTCAACAGCAATGATTTAGAAGCTAATCTAAACCACGTGTTTTGTTATTTCAATTCCTTCAACAATGATTTCAAACATTGGCTGAAACATATACGTACTGCTTCAACATGCACGCGACAAAACAAATTCATAAGCGATAGTTTCTTACACAATAAAATGGTTAAGCAGAACCAAACCACTTTAAACTGTATAGGTACTAGTTAAAGATTGGTTCTCTGTCTGTCATAGATTTATTTGTTTGTAATTAAGCACAAAG